GAACATAAAAGCATTAAGTGTTGTTTTTGATTCAAAATATTTCTGAGAGAAATTAAAGATCTCAATAAATGAAGAGACATAGCATTTCCATGGTTAGAAGACTCAGTGTTCTAACTCAGTGTTTGGTGAGATGTTAATTCTCACTAAATTGATGTGCTGAAATGGGCAAACCAACTGTGAAGCTCATATGAAAATGAAAAGGATTAGAGCAGTCAAAGCAACTTAAAGAAGAACAGAGTAGGAAGACTAACACTACCTGATTTTAAGAGTAATTGTAAAGTCATAGTAAATCAAAATAGTGTGATATTAGCATCAAAATCACCAAACAGACCAATGAATCAAAGGAGAAGTTCAGATACAAACTCGCACATATGACATATGATTTTTTACAAAGATGCGGAGGCAGCTCAGTTATTTCCAGACAATTAGATACAGTTGGAACAATTGGATCTCCATATGCAAAAAACAAAAAGAACTTCAGTTAGCCTCTCATACTGTATATACAGATTAGCTCAAAATAGATAATAAGGTAGCCCCACTGGTGTGGCTCAGTGGTTGAGCATCAACCTATGAATCAAGAGGTCACGATTCGACTCCCAGTCAGGGCACATGCCTGGGTTGCAGGCTCAATATCCAGTGTGGGGTGTGCAGGAGGCAGCCGATCAATGATTCTCTCTCATTGTTGATGTTTTTCTCTCCCTCTTCCTCTCCCTTCCTCTCTGAAATCAATAAAAAAAAATATTTTTTAAAAATTGGCCAGTGTGGCTAGGGCAGAGGCTGTGGAGGGGAGCGGGGTGCCAAATGGGATGGGAGAAATAAAATGCTTCTTTGAAAGGCTCTGCCCCTCACTGGCTGTGTGACATTAATCAAGGACCAACCTCTCTGAGCCTCTGCATCCTAAAAGCAATGAATGAAAATTTTTGAGTGTATGCTAGGCATCGTGCTAAGTGCTCTCTATGGATTAACTCATTAGATCCTCAGCCCTCCTCTCATACTGTATATACAGATTAGCTCAAAATAGATAATAAGGTAGCCCCACTGGTGTGGCTCAGTGGTTGAGCATCAACCTATGAATCAAGAGGTCACGATTCGACTCCCAGTCAGGGCACATGCCTGGGTTGCAGGCTCAATATCCAGTGGGAGGGGCATGCAGGAGGCATTTTATTCTTCCAGGGGTCCCCAAGACCACCCATATTAAATGACTTACTAGGACTCATAGCACTCGTCATATCGGTAGTTGTATAGTAAGTTCTCAACATCATTGATAGGTTCTGTGACTAAGCAAAATTATGTATAACAAAACCATGTTTACCATAGGCTAGTTAATATAAATAAGAGTTAAGTTCCTACAGAATCTCATCAAAATTATAATCAAGCCACGTTGAACAAAATGTCATTATTTGAGGACTTGTGGCTAAGATTTATTACAGTGACACAGTAAGGATGCATAGCTGGAAGGGGGCGGGCGGAGGACATCAGAAGGGCTGGAGGACTCCAGGTCGCAGGCTTCCATATTCTCTCCCTCCCATGAAGGCTCACAGGGAGCACGCCTTCCCTCCAGCAAAGATGTAACTACAGGTACACAGTGTTCATGCCCCGGGAAACCCATGTCAGGGTCAGAGTTTTTATTGGAGTCTGGTCACCAGTATTTCAGATCCCCAAAGGAAAGCAGGTGCTTAGTACCCCAGGCAGGCAAACAGCCTTATCAGTGTAGGGTTTATTTCAAGCCAGGTTTTCAGATGCCAGCCAAGGGTCAGCCTGGTATGCAGGCCTTTCTAAAGATAATAGTGTCAGGACTATTCATTCTTTTCTGCAGTCAATTGTACTTCAGTAGATCTTTCTTTTTGTTTTTTTTCTTTATTTAAATTATTTTTAATTTTTCAATTATAGTGACATACAATATCAGTTTCAGGTGTACCCCTCCAGTGATTAGAACAGAACAGAAACAGATTCATAGATATAGAGAACATTTTGATGGTTTCCAGATGGAAAGGGGATGTGGGAGATGAGTGAAAAAAGATGAAGGGTTTAAGAAGTACAAAATTGGTTGTTACAGAATTGTCATGGGGATATGAAGTACAGCATAGGGAATATAGTCAATAATATTCTAATAACTGCATATGCTGACAGTCTTATGGGAGGTCCCTTGTAGGTAACTAACTGCTTTTCTCTTTCTGCTTTTAAGATTCTCTTTGTCTTTAACCTTTGGCATATTAATTATGATGTGTTTTGGTGTGGGCCTCTCTGGGTTCATCTTGTTTGGGACTCTCTGCACTTCCTGGACTTGTATGTCTATTTCCTTCACCAGATTAGGCAAGTTTTCTGTCATTACTTGTTCAAATCAATTTTCAACTTCTTGCTTTCTCTTCCCCTTCCAGCACCCCCATGTTACAAATGTTAGCATGCTTGAAGTTGTCCCAGAGGCTCTTCATATTTCTGGATTCTTTTTTCTTTTTGCTCATTTGATTGGATGTTTTTTGCTTCCTTATATTCCAAATCACTGATTTGATTATCAGCTTCATCTACTGTTGATACCTTGTAGTATATTAGTATATTCTTCATTTCAGTTAGTGTATCCATTATTATACCTCAGTAGAACTTTCTAAGAAATCATCATATGTGTTAGTATGAGCTAGTACAAGGCAACAGTGATTAATTTATTGAAAAAGGAGTAGACTTAAAAAGTAGTAATTTCAGATATGGGGAAGACCAACATAGTGAGATCTTTATTACTTGGTGCACTTCATGCCCTTAAGTCCTCTCGTTAGAATGAGGTGGGATATTAATAAAAGAGTCAAGTTGAGATGTTTGGCAAATGGGAGCATCTAATTATTTTTAATCTTTAATAATTTGACTTTTCATTTGAATTGTATTTGAAAATCTTTCCCAAATACATAATTTTCCCTTTTTTTCATTTAAAAAAATCCTTGATTGATAATCATTATTTTAGCCATTGGTTACTGATCATGACCCAGTTCTATATCAAATGAAAGGTAAAGTATTGGTGTTGAGATTATAATTACCTTAACAACAGCACTACCTCACCCGGATAAGAGGGTGAGTGGAGCTGGAACCCAGCTGATACTTTGATGGCTGGGCCCATAAGCCTTGTGTGGAGTGTGTCTGCCCAAGAAAGCGGCACCTTTTTCTAATTTGCCAAAGGTGCCATGTGGGCTGACTCTGGCTCTGCTCAACACCTGTCCAGGAAGATGGTGGTGTTTTTTCCCCCAAAATGCTGCCTAGTATCATCGAGCTTTCTTGTGAGTGTCTTTCCCCTTAAAGAATTCCCAACAAATAACTTTCAGTTGAGGGTTGTCTTTAACCAGAACTCCGCTAGGTACAACAGAGTGTATTAGGAGAGAACCAGCTACTTCAGCTGCCTCTTCTTCTATAATTTGGCCCATTGCCGTTGAAAGACAGACAAATTTATGTATGTTTTTCTTTTGTCTCCCAGGAGGATGCCTAGTGTCTGTTCTGTATCTGGTTCCCATTATTAATGTTGCCAGCCAAGATTTCTGTGTCTGTAGCAATAAAAAATTCAGAGCAAGGCAACTCCTATGGCTCCTCTGAGTCAAATGTTTGCTGTTACTGAGTACCGTATTTGCCGGCGTATAAGACGATTTTTTGGCCCTGAAAAATATGCCTCCAAGTGGGGGGTCGTCTTAGACGCCAGGTACACTTCAGATAGACTGCACATAGTGCTTGCCCTGTGCCATAGTGGCCTCCCGATGCCCGCCCACTTCATTCCACATACCGTTCAGGCATCAGCAGCGCTGCTGGGTCTATGCTCGGCTGTTATGCGATTGTGCTGTTATGCGATTTTACCACACTCGCAAAATCGCACACAGCCGACCATACACCCAGTATGGTATCGCGATTCGCAATTTTGCGCTATCATGGTGCCTGTTAGAATGTTAAAGAGCTCGCACTTGCGCACGAGTGAGGTCCCAGGGAGATGCTGATGCAAGGGGGGACCAGACTGCTATAGGGACAGGGCGGGCAAACAGGGAGCAGGGACCAATCAAATCAGGCTTTGTATACAGCCAACAGCCAACCACAATACTGCCCCATTGTACAGTACAGCATAGAACATGTCGACCAGTCAAACCCCTATCATCCCTATCATGGCACCAGGATGTCGTTGATGAACTTTTAATATCAGATGATGAAGAGGAGTTTGAAGGCTTTTAAGGTGAAACTGTCACGCCAGCAAACTTGCTAGGGACTTGCCCGGCACTTGCTCTCTCCCTCTATTTGTTATCTTACTTCTATCATTGACAGTCCCTCTAGGTTGTGGGCTGCTTGCCTGTGTTCCTGAGAAGCATCTACGGTACCAGTCTATAGAGTGTGTTTTCTTTAGTGAATTACCGGTATGTTTACCGGTAATAAACTTGCACTGTTTTATGTATATGTTTGATTACATACAGCCTTGTGACAGTTTTCCTGCATGTCATAAGCATTTGCATATAAATTAAAATGTTAAAATCACATCTGATATTGTTTTACCTTTTATTTGGTGTGTGGCAGATGTGCGGAAGAGGGGGAAGTCTTATTCGGCGAGTATATAACAAACTCTGTATTTTGAGTGGAAATGTTAGGGGGTCGTCTTATACGCCGGCAAATACGGTAATAAAGTTTCCTAAAGAGGAACTAAACCTCCTCACTTCCAAAGATACACTTGTTTAAAAGATCCAACTTTGGAACAAATAGGAAACATTTGATAATCACAATGTGGTTTCCAATAAGTGATGTTCTCTCCATCCTGCCTGAGCCGGAGGCTTAGTGTATGACAGAGTGCGCAGTCGCTGGTGCTGAGTAGACAAAGAGTAATTGGGTAGCAAATCCATCAGCAGGAGGGTTCTGTTTGGAAGCGTTCAACTTTTGGGAATCGGCATCCTCCCACCCCTTCACATTTCTTCTGCTTGCCTCACCTATTTTCCCTCCCTTCAACTTCTTTTCCCTAAAGAAACTTAAACCAAATCTCTTTCCCCTTTTTATAGATGCGAACCACACGCAAGGTCTCTGTCTGGCCAGTGGGCCTGGTTGGCGGGCGACGCTATGAACGTCCGTTGGTGGAAAATGGCAAAGTCGTTGGTTGGTACACCGGCTGGAGAGCAGACAGGCCTTTCGCCATCGACATGGCAGGTGAGGAGTGTGGGTGACATTTGCATCGGCTCCATTGTTCTTACGGATATTCCCAGTGTCACAGGGCACTAGACAAAGGAAGCTTTAAAAGACCACTTGGGTGAAACTGCTGATCTTAACATATGCAGCAGATTAGCCATTTAAACCTTCAAAATAGGCTCTTTGTTAATTCAAATGGAAATTTATTTTGGGGTGATTAGAAAATGCTCGTTCCATTCCATTTTGGCACTTGTCTGTGTGACCACCCTTTTATCCAACAAATGTCTATGTGCCAGGTGCAGAGTTGGGCACTGGGAGTCAGTGGTGAAAACTGACCCTGGCCTTACGTTTTGGCACCTCTCTCCAGGGGTCCAGTTTGTTACAATAACTCACACTTATGAATATATGTAATAGTGATGTGAGTTTGACAGGCTAATCAGTTTAATACTTATTGATAAATTTAGTACTTCTTTTTTTTTAATTGTTTTATTGCTTAAACTATTACAAAGAGTATTACATATGTCTCCTTTTTTTCCCCACCCTTGACAATCCCCTGGCCTCCCCTACCACCCAGTGTCTTATGTCCATTGGTTATGCTTATATGTATGCATACAAGTCCTTCAATTGATCTCTTACCCACCCCGTTCCTGCCCCCCAACCCTCCCCGGCCTTCCCGTTGCAGATTGATCTAAATGCTTTCCATTTCTCATGTAATCC